TTTATTTTTATTAAGGAAAAAGTTGTCTATGATGTCAAAAAGCCCGGCAGGCTCTTTAATTAATCGTGAAGAATGGTTTTCATACATTTTGATGCTATTGATATTTGAAAAGTTTTGAAATTTAAATTTTCCAAATGTTCTTTAGAAATTTTTAAGAATCTATATTTAATTTACACCACTTCTTGAATACATGTTGTAACACAATACGTCTGAAGTTTCTCCTCCACCGCACATTTTGGTGAGGACTAAGGATAGGGGCTTGGTAGTTACTGGACCCTGCAATATAGGGATGTCAACGAATAGTCGACTATTCGACTATCAGTCGAATGGACCGACGATCGAATAACGAAACGACATTCGAATAAATAAATTCAATAAAAGAGTGATAAATAGATGGAATTCTCATGCTAAAATTGAGAAACCGTCTTTCCTCAGACATAGTCGATAAGATAATTTTCCTCATTAAAAACTGTTGACTTTACATGTAGAAAGTACAGTAATTAGAAATGTTTCACTTCCGCGAGAATTATTTGTCAATTAATGTGTTGTTTTTGTAATAAAATTATCTCACTATACTGCGCTTTCTTTGTAAAATTATTAATTGGACTTGATCTCATAACATGTACCCGTTATAGCCGTGACATGTTTGGACACTACGATAATTATTATCAAATAAATATTCTTTTACATATTTTGAAGTACGAAAGCCTATTAGGATCAAACTACGGTAAAAAAAAATTTAAAAGGCGTTATAACGCCTTTTGAAAAGGCGTTATTACGCCTTCGTTATTACGCCTTTCTAAAAGGCGTTATTACGTCTTTCCAAAAGGCGTTATAACGCTTTTCTAAAAGGCGTTATTACGCCTTTCCAAAAGGCGTTATAACGCGAAAAAAGGCGTAAACGCGTAATAACGCCTTTTTTCGCGTTATAACGCCTTTTGGAAAGGCGTAATTACGCCTTTATTTGCGTTATTACGCCTTTTTCCGCGTTATAACGCCTTTTCAAAAGGCGTTATAACGCCTTTTAAATTTTTTTTTACCGTAGTTTGATCCTAATAGGCTTTCGTATTAAAGACATTTTGATAGTTGGTACAAAAAGTATATTGTGTGTGCCCCCCCCCCCCCTCATTTTAATAAGCTTTAAAAAAATTTATATCACTGTCATTTTTTTATGCTTCCTAAAAAAAACGACTTTACAGACCTATTTATGAACATGATTGACGGGGAAATCATGTATTTTGGCCGATATATCTTTGTTTATGTATTTTTGCCGTTTGAAGGGGGTAGAAATGTTAATTTTATTTATTCAAGTTCATCTATCGCCACTATGGTGGTAAACACACATTGTCCATGTGGCGCAATCTTTAAATAGAGTTATATTTCATTTGTTACCAGGGCTAATTACAACTTTCAATAAGTGTGACTCTCAGTTTGCTTATTTTGTCAGACTGGATGAATCTTTTGCAATGTATGATTTGGCAGTATGTTGTCTAACAGTTTCATTTGTATATTTGCCTGTTTAGGTTCATTAGCCTATTTCACGTGTATTTCATATATTTCCATTTACGTGGTATTTGCCATTTGGTCTGCCAAAATCGTCCAATGCATGATGTACGATTGTAGCCATAAATAATTGTAATTGCTGATAACTTAAAAAAATAATTGTAGCGCGGCCATGGCCATTATTCGCCTTTAAACAATAAACGAATACATGTAGATCTGTGTGGTATTCTCTAGTAATATACATGTATTTAGGATTTAGCGACTGTTTTCACGAGGGGAAAACCGTATAGTTTTAATGAACATATTTTTTATAATTTTTAACGAAATTTCTTGCGATGGCTATGTCATATTTTAAAAGGAAAACTTTGTTATTAATACATATGCATTTGTGGGATATAGTTTCTATGATGTTCTAAATCTTAGTGTATCAAAATATCAAAGAACAATAAATAAAAAATAACTGCATATACAGTATTTCTTTTAAAAGGAGATGGGTGAACATGACGAGCGATAAGCCTATAGTGTGACAAACATGAAGATGAAAAATTAAATTTCAATTATATCAAAATTTTCCTTGATATTTCGTCTAACATTAAAATATACTTTATTGAAAATCTCTACAATTTGCAAAAATCCCTCAAAGATTGAAATTATTTGCCTGTGAAATATTAGACACACACTAAAGCGGGCAAAAAGAGTCATTTTCTCATACTATAATACTATTTTTCGATATGAGTGGGTCTTCGCTCCACCTTTTTGAAAGTTAATCCTCAAAGTTTGCATAAAAATATACATTTTTTGCTTACGAAAAATATGGGTCACATCGCTCACCTAAGAACGTTGGCTAAAGTAAACAAGAGGTCAATGGGTCACATCGCTCGCCTAAGAACTTTGCCTGGGAAAAAGCAGAAATCAGTTCAGTATTGGAAAAAAAAAGGGGGGGGGCGATTTGAACAAACTTGAATCTACACTACCCGAGGATGCTTCCATATTTCTTTGACTAATCATGGCTTTTAGTGGATTTTTCATGATTTTTTCCCTGTGTGGTTGATCTTCTATTGTGCCCTTGCCCTACCCCTGCCCAGGACATGATTTGAACACACTTGAATTTACACAACCTGAGGATGCTTCTAAATCAATATGACTGGCTTTGCTCTTTTTGAGAAGAAATTTTTTTATTGAAACATCCTTAAAGTTTACATTCCTTTGTATAACTTTTATCGCCTGTTGTGGCCCCTCTCTACTCCTGGGGGATCGTGATTTGAACAAATTTGAATCTAGATTTCCTGAGGATATTTCTTTATTAATATACATGTATAAGACTAATCATGGCTTTGTTGTTCTTGAGAAGAAGATTTTTAAAGGGTGTTCCTATGTACATGTATCCCTGTGAAAAACTTAATCGCCATTGTGGCTCCACCCTAACTCCGGGGGTCACAATTTAAACAAATTTGAATCTACACTTTACCTGAGGATGCTTCCATATAAATATGACCAATCATGGCTTTGCTGTTCTTGAGAGGAAGATTTTTACAGATTTTTCTTATGTATTCCTATGTAAAAATTTGATCACCCATTGTGGCCCCCAGGGTCATGATTTGAACAAATTTGAATCTACACTACCTGTGGATGATTCCACATAAGTTTCATATTTTCTAGCCCGGTGGTTTTTGAGAAGAAGATTTTTGAAAGATACCGCCAATTTCACTAATTCTTAATTATATCCCCTTGAAAGAGGAGAGAGTTCCTTCATTTGAACAAGCTTAAATCGCAGTGGCGGGTTCATAGTTTGGCGCACCCGGCGCGCACCCCCCTAAAACTGTCAAAGTTAGCGTAAATCATAGTTTCGTCTAGAAAATGTAAAAATGCCTACCCGGTAGACCTCATTTCTACCCTACAAAATCTTTAGAATCCAGGAGCTTCTGGGGGCCTCAAGGCGGCCCCCAGACCCCCTGCATACTTTTTGCGCCCCCCTAACTTCAATTCTTGGATCCCCTTCACCCAAGGATGCTTTGTAGCAAGTTTGGCTGAAATTGACCCAGTGGCTCTAGAGAAGAAGTCAAAAATATGAAAAGTCGGACAGGCGGACTACAGACAAAATGTGATCAGAAAAGCTCATTCGAGCTTTCAGCTCAGATGAACTAAAATTATTCTTGTTCCCTCCATTTGTTCCCTAGCAAAATCAACGGATATGTCTTTTCCTTCCTTGTCAACAATCCTTTAGAATAGAACCATTTACCAATTTATCTTTACATCTGCTGACTATTTTCTTCCTTATTCCTTATGAAAACTGGTCGCTATGAATGGTTCGCAAGCCCATAGAAAACGGGGGGTGGGGGGTGAGGGGGGGCAATGATTTTGCCAGTATATACTTTACTATAGAAAACAAAGCTAATTCACAGTTGTGCTTACTGCTTGAACTTTTTACTCCAGTGAGAAGCATAGGTCCTGAACTACACTAGAAAACAAAGCTAATTGACCCCCCCCCCCCACCACCACCACAACCACCATTAATAATGTCATATTTTTGTTTGTCAAAGATTTCCGTCAGGTTATGCATGCCCCCGGCGCCCCCCCCCCCCATCCCTAAACCAAATTGAAATTGAGTGTATGGGAGGGGGGGGGGTGATTTGAACATCGAAAACTAGCTGACGAAGAACTGGTATACACATGATGTTAAATACTTTTCAAATTGTTTAGAAATTGTTCCATTCTATATAAGTTCTTTCGTTTACATATCGTCAAACAAAATTACTTTTTTGGAGAGAGAAAATGCACATTCAGTAATGGACGTTTTGAGGAAAGTTTGACCAAAATTTCACTTAGGCTTTGGATTTTACAGTTTGGTAATCTTTCTTGAGGTTTTTCTCATCAAATATTAAGTTTACAATACAAAAATTCACAATTGTTTTATCCTTTTTATTCTACTGTATTACTAACAAAAGGCTTTTTTCCGTGGTGGGGGTTCATTTTTCCTTCTTAATGTATTATGTATTGAAAATGATCGAATTTGAGGCTATAAAAGATATGAACAAAAGTTTTTATTATTTTTTCCCCAAATACTAGTATGTCTCAGAAGTGAAATTAGGTTGGGCTAGTCTCATCCTCTTTTTATGATTGACTGATTATGATAATAATATTGATCTCATCCCCACCAACATTAGTGGCGGATCCAGAAATTTCAAAACGGGGGGGGGGGGGTTGTAGAACGAGGTTTTTGACCAAAAAAAAATAAAAAAAATAAAAAAATCCTCTAAACTCGAAAATTCTATTTCCTTGGGGGGGGGAGGGGGGGGGGGCTTTGAACAACCCGCCGCGGAATATTCAGGAAGCAAATGGGCTTATAAGGCACGCACGCTAGCAGCAGCAGTTTCTCTCTTCTTGCAAATGCGATCACGTGAATTTTGAGAAAATATACAGTTGGGTCTAGCAAAACTGGTATCGCTGTGAAATAAAGGCCTCTATGTAATAAATGATTTGAATCAGTTAATGCTAGGCCTACCGGCAATGCAACGTGTCCATGCGATATTGATGAAAGAATATCGTAAAACTTTTAAAGCACCTTTCGATGGGCCTCAAACCACCTTGACAACATTTGACCTTGGCATTGCCGATTAGTTGTACACACGAGAGAGCCATGGCTTCAGTATTTGGGGATATTGAGATCGCACCGCCAATCGAAGTGTTTAATTTAACAGCACAGTACAATGAAGACAGTCATCCAAACAAGGTTAATCTCGGGGTTGGAGGTAAGTTAAAAGTGAAAGTTGCAAAGGGGATGTTGAATTCCACAATGACAGAAAAGGTTGGATAACCGAGACAGCGTGTAATGTCAGTTGAACATGCAGAGAAAACTCAAGTTAATAGAACAATACATTTATGATTTACATATCATAATAACGATTTAGTCTTAAGAGTTCGTACAGGTTCATGGCCTTTTAAAAAAATTAGAATAAGTAGTTTTAAAGTACACAGCAGTCCTTAAAAATTTATGTATGGCCTATTACAGTGACGTCCATGCATTTCAGGACCGACACTTTCTGTATCATGTGACACTTCCATAAAAGTTTCTTATGGCCATAGAGAGCTTTTATTTACTAGTAAATAAACTTTATTTTTGGTAGTATATGTTTTATTTTCTAAGTGCCATTTGGTGTGCAATATTTTTTTATTGAATACATGCAGGTAAATATTTCCTAAATCAAATGATTATTTGCATAATTTCCATATACTACTGGGCATTGTTAATTTCATAATGGCCATAATTATAATTATCCATCATATTACACCACTGAGTTAAAAACATGATTATATTACTTCATTATATCAATATATAATTAAACTAAGATATATAATCTGTATTTTCTTTATCAGCTTACAGGACAGATGAGGGTAAACCATGGGTACTCCCGGTGGTCCGCACAGTGGAGGCCCAGATGGCAACAGATCCCACACTGAACCACGAGTACCTCCCTATAGCGGGGATGCCTGATTTCAGATCAGCTGCCCTCAAACTACTCCTGGGAGAAGACTCCCCAGCACTTAGTGAAAACAGGGTATGTTTAGTATTCATGCTTTAGAGGCAATATAAAATGTATGATGCATTATGTTAGGAAATCTTTTCATGGTTTCTTTTCATTGATGTTAAATTGTGTCTTTTCATTAATGTTAAATTGTGTACTTATAATTAAGTTCAATATAAACATTTTCTATGAAAAGGAGACCCAAACATTTACAGATCATAGACATTCTGTGTAGATCAGCACTGAATCAATAAACAGTTTGGGATCAGAAGTGACTATAAATATAATAAGAATAATAAACAATCATGGATTGTAACTTTTTAAAAGTTCTGTCAAAATTCAAACTCTTAAAACCTTAAACTGTAATTAAACTGATCTTATGTAATAACAACATTTTAAGAATCAGCTCCAAAATTTGGCAATTCCTATCTCGCACATTTCAGGTAGAAGGTGTCCAGTCTATTGGGGGCACTGGAGCAATTAGAATTTGTGCAGACTTCTGTAAGAAAATGCTGGGATATGATACAATGTACACATCCAGTCCAACATGGGGTAGGTGGTCATCTCATCTAGCATAATGTATTCTAATTCTTTGTGTATTTTATGATTGTAGATTTGGATATATTAACTGGCTTGAGACTCCCAAAATTTGAACTAGGTATTCACTTTTTAAATGACAACAAACTGAGGAACATCAGGTTGACAATAAACAGTAATTGCCATTTTGAGGTCAACAAGATGATTTAACTACCTGAGGAAGATTGTAATATTTACCAAGCATAAAGGGCAAATTGAATATTGTACATCAAGGGTGGCTAAATCATCATATAGACTGAAAAACATGCAGCAGTAATTGTTTTATTATTTGATTCAATGATTAAATGAAACAAACTCATTAAGCAAACCTTAACACGTTACAGTGTACATGTATGAGTAAATAGACAATTCAACCCATACCATTTTTTTTCATGAGTTGTTTACAATGTTCTACCATCTCTTTTACTTTTGTTTTATAAGCATGCCTTTCTTGAGGAATGAAAATTATTACCGGTATGCATAAGCATGCGTGTACATGTACATTTACAAGCAATGAAACTAATATACTCTGTTTGTTCTTTTTGAATTTGTAGGTAATCACATGGGTATATTCAAAAGCTGTGGATATTCTAATGTAAAACAGTACAGATACTGGGACGCTCAAAATCGCACCATTGACTTTAGTGGAATGATGGAAGACTTGAATGTGAGCATTTTTATGTTTCCATAGTTTTATTAGATTCATGTTAAATTGGCAAACAGAACATAGTAAAGCTTTAAGTCTTAAGATTATTAGTGTCTAGCAGATAATGACCAAAGTTCGTTGCATTGAGTAAATTAAGTCCTCTTGGATCTACCAACTGAAACCATTCATAGATACCGTTTCTTTGAACTTCAGTATCTTGAAAATTATAAATATATATCTGGTATAATTCAGACCTGAATTATTTTTTCTTGCAGGCAGCACCAGAGAAGTCAGTAGTGATATTCCATGGCTGTTGTCACAATCCTACAGGAATCAACCCCACAGAAGAACAGTGGAAAGAAATAGCCGATCTAGTGGAGGTACAGGGTTCTTTGTTTGTCTTGTTTAGAATGGAGCTAAACTTAAGCCCATCAAAATTTAAAAGACAACTTAATCATTGTGTTTATGGATGTTGTCATTAAGTCATTTTGGAATTAGTGAGATGAATTTCTAACGACATCATGTTTGATCTGATATGCATGGATACTTGTATGAAGAAATATATGTAATGCTAATTTCTTTGGCCACTTAAGCAGAATGAATCAGAATAGAATAAATGTTCCAAGATTTTTTCATGAAAGCAATCTGATCATTTAAAAATGATTGTTATTTCTGTTTAAACTCTTATGTAATATAGATTTTTTTCTTGTTCTGCCCTTGTTTATGACACATATAGATGATAATTAATGGAAGATCCTGAGGAATTTTGGGGAATTTGATGAAATGTTAAAGTTAAAAAATCAGGATCAATGATATGAGTATAATTGGGACCCTTTTATGACAGTTTCTTAGTTGTCTATAATGTCTAACATGCTCTGTAATGTGTTTTTAATTTGACATTTTCAGAAGAAAAAGTTTTTGGTCATGCTGGATGAGGCATATCAAGGTTTTGCCTCTGGAAACCTGGAGCAGGACGGATTTGTTGCACGCTACTTTGATAAAAGGGGATTTGAATTTTTTGTCTCACAATCATTTTCCAAAAACTTTGGATTATACAGTTAGTATCTATCTATAAATAAAATTCTCATCTTGCCTTTGTTTCCTTGTTTAAAACTTTAAATGTCACAGGTGTGATGATTGAAGAATGTAGCTGGCTTAAAAGAATTTATTCATCTAAAGTACATTGTACCATAAAAGATAAACCATTTGATTAAAATGTACCGGTATGTATCTACATTGTACTTTTACAGATGAAAGAATAGGAAACTTAGCTATAATCTGTGCAAATAAAGATGCCAAGCTGCGAGTGAAGTCTCAGATGGAGATGGTTGTGAGGACAACCTGGTCAAATTCACCCAATCACGGAGCTAGAATTGTCGCATCAGTACTCAATAACCCAGCATACTATGCAGAATGGTAATCTATAAAATTAAAAAAAAAAGATCAGTATCGTTTTTTCAATCCAATGCCAATATATATGCTCTGATTTATACAGAGCCCAGGTTTAACTCATTCTTTTTTAAGGAAGTTTTTTTAATTGTATTCCAAATTAAGTGTAAATACCTGACATAAAATTTTGCCTAGAAAATATCTTCAGATCTGTATAAAGAGTTGTGTATTCACAGGAAAGAGCACGTGAAAATGATGTCGGATAGAATCAAGATGATGAGAGAGATGCTCTTCCAGAAACTGAAGTCACTAGGCACGCCCGGAAAATGGGATCACATCATCGAACAGAAAGGGATGTTCAGCTTTACAGGATTAAATCGTAAGTTGACAAACATCTATGGTCAGAACCTTGTAGTTCTTGATACCTTGAAACCTTGGCAAGTTAAGTTGGAAGGAAGTTCTTTTTCTATTTCACTGGTGCTGAGCCAATATATCTCTCTGAAAGATTAGTCAATAAAGTTGTGAATGGTTTGGTGTGAAGTTTTCAGGAAAATATTTTTCTTGAGCAATGGAGAATCAGTAGGAAATTTGAGGCAGATGAAGTAAGGATGAAAATTCTGAAGAATTTTTTCTTCATTTATTTATTTATTTTATATTTATTTTTTTTTTTTTGGAGACTGTATCAGTTTTCGTCAAACCTTTTTTTCAGAACATGCCCTTTGGGCAGGTTTAACCACTTATTACACTAGCCCGAACAAATATTTACATGCCCAGAATTTTATCAAGTAATTTTTTTCTTATTTGCCTTTTCATGCCAAGGAAATGATCTGAAATCCATTTCTATCGATCTATTGTCTCGCCATTGGTATTGTTTTCAACCTGTACATTTTGTGTCTCCTTTGCAAAAGAGTTCCTTTGGAATTGCAGTAGAATAAACTATCGTTAAAATTTTATTTGGTACTCTACTTTAGATGAAAAATCAGACTTTTAAGTACATTTAATGTTATTAGTATTATCTAATTTGATAATACGCATGCTTAGGCCTCAGAATTTACATGCCCTTCGGGCTTGCAATATCCACATGCCCGCTTCCAATTTTACCAGGTCCCGGGCTTCGACTCCCGGGATTTGTCGAAGACTGCTGTATTGTTTGTGGTGCAAGTCGAGTTGTGGACAGAACAGGATGTGGTATTCTATACTAGCTGATTGTAATTTGCCTTATCAGATACATGCCATGGAGATAAAATTTTGTTTGAAATTAAAAAATTTAATTATATATATAAAGGTGGTTTATAATGATATAAACTACCTTTAGAATTACATTTCACATTTAGTATGGAGTCATAAACTGTGTGAACAAAAAAAAAAAAAGAAAAGAAAAATTAATACAGAGGTCAATAGTAACATAGTCATTAACAAAGGGAAATAAATCTCAAACATTTTTCTGCACTCTGGATTCTGTCTAGGTTTGGACAGTTATACTGTATGTTCTCAACATTCTTCAAATCATGCAGTCCTAAACTTGTTACAATTTTGATAATTAAATCATACATGTTTGAATCTGAGCTATGAAAGATAAGAATTCTGAAAATTAAAATCCTGGAATGGAACTTGACTATCTATTTGTTACTAAGTTACATCTACATGCAGTTATGAACAAGGAAATCATGGAATCTTGCCACAACCTGCACTTCTGTACAATTTTAGTATTTAGTATCTTGCATCATCAGCTCTCATTTAAACATGAACTTTGCACATTCAAACATTATTGCTATATATATTCACCTTGAGAATAAACTGCAATGTGGTCAGTAATTTGTTCTTAAATTTATCCTGAAGCTGAATGAAATCATATTATTCGCTTGTATATATATCATATTCTTGCCTATTTTTGCAGCTGGACAAGTTGACATTTTGATAAAGAAATACCACATCTACCTATTGAAGAATGGTCGCATCAATATGTGTGCTTTGACAACTGCAAATATGGAATATGTAGCTAATGCCATCCACTCAGCCATTACTGAATGCAAGCTTTGAAAAACCTTAGATCTAGGATGTCAAACAATGAAAAGTACTTGATTAAATTAGTGGTTGATCGTTTAATGTGATACATGTACAAAGAAAATATTTACATTATATTTCATTTCAATACTGATTATGTCATGATTATAATTTAAAATTATTGACACATAATGACTATATGTATACATGTATGTATTGATTCAAATCCTGTGTCAATCGATGCATCTTTTTCAGGACTTTAGATTTATAAATACTGTGCCAAATTTAAAGACCTCGTCCTTAACTCTGTGTATAATATTTATTTAATATTCTAGGAAATTTTCTATGATATTCAGAAATGGTGATATAGATATGAAATAGATAATGTGGTATAAGCTTCATATATGCATGTGCATTAATGATGTTCTGTATTGGCTTCAGTATAGTTATATTTATGGAATGTTTTTATTTGTTAAATATTTGCAGATTTGAAAGAAAGCAAGAAAATTTGCATGAACCAGCTGCAAAAAAAATGAATGGCAAACAAAATAATACATGTAGTGCTACAGATATACTGTATATTATTTGACTTTCCATTTCTTTGTTACATTGTTTTGAGGGTGCTTATAGAAAAATGTTATCATATTTATAATATCACTAACAAACAACCTTCCTATTCTGATTATGGACTTACTGATTTATTGAGGAAATAATCAACTTTCCAAAATTTTACATCTGCTAACAGTGGATTATTGCTTACATTAAATGGTTGCGTCTTGAAACTTCTTGATTAATTTATATATAGAATCTGATGTTTATATTTTACAGCTGATTAGGGATATGAATGATTACACAGTCATTCTTTTGTCCTACCTACAGTTCCATATAGTATGTTAGCCAGTCTTTTAAGTCACTGTATACTGTTATCAATACTTTTAGCAGAGGAATGCATGTATATAATTTCTCTGAAATTAATTGTCTGGCTTAATTTGACTACTTTTATTTTTACTAGATGTTTAAAGACAAATTTGGTTGATGTTGTACATTTTTGTCAGCTTATTTGCATGTGCAGGTTTTGTACCCATCTAAAATCAATAAATTACTTCCAAATAAAATAGTGATACTGTTAAGAAATTAATTATTTTTTACTTGGGTTGGCAGTCCTGCTTTGATCACTTAAAATTAGCAGATTACTATACATTGATGTCAACACCATCCTTACCTTGCATTGAATTTGGAGATAATGCAATTAAAAACACATTTATAAACCATGTCTTTACCAGATACTGCCTTGTGTGCTTAATGCTATGCTTTAATCTTTAATGTATTATAGTTGTATATGTTTGCAACATTTTGGGGCAATATAATTTAGATTTTGTTGTCTCCTCTGTAAATACCCCCCCCCCCCCCCTTCCCAAACAACAACATACACACCAAAATAGTATTTTCAGTTTTGTAGTTGTTTACCTTTTTAGCTCACCTGAGCTGAAAGCTCAAGTGAGCTTCTCTGATCACATTTTGTCTGGTGTCCATCTGTCTAGCTGTTTTTACTAGAGTTACACTGTGAGGTAAAACTTGCGTATTTTCCAGTATTCTGGGGTTACTTTTGTATTGTGGGGTTAACCCCACAATAAATTGGTTTATTCATGTTTGATATGACAGTGCGAGGTTAAAAAAACCCCTTAAAAATAGACTTCACCCCACAAGAATTTTCAGACATAATATGAGACTTGTGTATAGTAACTATGGACATGCAGAATCCAGTACTAAAATTCACCATGCTCTGTAGTAAAAATATGAACATAAACTGTAGTGTGAAAGAATGTACAGAAAGACGTTTTGACATATGCACCCCACTATGGATTTAACTACTGAAAGTAACCCCATGCTGTTATCTAAGCTATCTGTCCGCCTGTGAACTTTTCACATTTTAGACTTCTTCTCAAGAACCACTGGGCCAATTTTGACCAAACTTGCCACAAAGCATCCTTGGGTGAAGAATTAGTGAAAATTTGTGTCATGAATCTTTCAAAAATCTTCTTCTCAAGAACAATAAGGCCAGAAAATTTGAAACTTATGTGAAACCTTCATTACATAGTGTAGATTCAGATTTGTTCAAATCATGACCCCCAGTGGTAGGGTGGGGCCTCAATAGGGGATCAAAACTTTACATAGGAATACATAGGAAGTTTTTTAAAAAAATCTCAAGAACAACAAAGCTGTGATCAGTCATACTGATGTGGAAGCATCATCAGGTAGAGTAGATTCACGTTTGTTCAAATCGTGACCCCTGGGGGTAGGGTGGGGCCACATTGGGAAATCAAAGTTTTACAAATGAATATACAGGAAAAAACTTTAAAAATCTTCTTCTCAAGAACAGCAAAGCCATTATTAGTCATTTTGATATGGAAGCATATTCAGGTAGTGAAGGTTCAAGTTTGTTCAAATCATGACCCCGGGGGGTAGGGTGGGGCCACAATGGCCGGGTGATCAAAGTTTTACATAGCAATATATAGGAAAAAATCTTCTCAAGAACAGAAAAGCCATGTTTAGTCTAATTGATATGGAAGCATCCTCAGGTAGTGTAGATTCAAGTTTGTTCAAATGATGACCCCTGGGGATAGGGAGGGGCCACAATGGGGGATCCAATGTGCTCAGGTGAGCGATGTGGTTCATTGGCCTCTTGTTCTTAGCTTGTCAGAAAATTTTACAGTTGAAATATTTTTGGACTAGAGTGAAACCCCCCCCCCCCCTGGAAAAAATTCCAGGATCTGGACATATTTAATTCAATTATGGTAATTACAATTATAGGAATTTTTTAAATAGTCTAAAAAGATATTGTGCACATTCAGGATGCATCTCATGTGTGTACTCTGTTGAAGTATCTCTGAAAAACAACTGGTAACAACCATTGTTTAGTTCGCTGAAGGGGCTGAATTAGCTATGCAAAGAGCATTTGCTCCATTTTCACAGAAACCCTGGCCCCAAGACCATAAACTGAGAATATGACGTAAGTCAAAATTTTAATTTTTAATATCTTAGGTTTCATTCAATGTATTAGCTTAAAAATTTGCAAATGTGCAAAACACTTCAATTCAAACATATTTTGAAAAATTTATTGTATTATCAATATTATTTCAAGAGTTTTTTCGATTTGAAATTTTGACTTAAATCTGTTCTCAGTTTATGGTCTTGGGGCCAGATTTGACTGAGAAAAAAAATCAATTGATGACTGATAAACTTTCACATTTTCACCTTATTCTCTAGAACTATGCATGTCACAGTGCCATTTGTATATATATATATTGATTGGATTAAAGTGAGCATGCAAGTTGGGTTTTTTTTTCCTAGAAGTTTATCAGATATTAAAATTTCAGCATTAGTTAAATTGTAGTGCTAAAGCTCTTAAAATTCTTGTTTATGTGCTGTACTGAAAATGACAATAAGAAATTTTCAATTCTATTCTTTAATTTCGATAATTTTTAATGCTTAAAATACTATATTTTTAGCAGGTCAAGTGTAACTTGTCTATGCCTTTATTTAGTGCGACCTGTAAAAGTGGAACTCTCTAGTAAAGGAAACCAATAGTGGCCTATCTTTATTCCCGCGCTTTTGTCACCTCCATTATTCGTGTATTCACTGATTCAGTATTGTGTTGGAAGATCTATATTTAAGGCTTAAGAAACGAATTATTTCTAAAGGATGTTAGTACAACTTGGATTTTAGTTCCTGAGAAGTATTATATGGTAAGTATCAATCAATGTATGATTCTCTACCTGCTTGAGACGAGATCTTGAAACTTGATTAAGAGCTGAACTATTTTATATTAATGCTAGGATGATAGATATGGGGTTTGGTGTAATTATTATTGGCACATTGTGTTCAGCGGTTGAATTCGTCTGCGGAATGTTTAAAGCTGTAACATGTAGGCGAAAAATCTGTCCTCTCGGTTGGCTGAATGTCGAAACATTTGGCCTGAAGCCTTAGTTTGATTTTCTAAGTTAAACTTTTGTTAAATGTCAATTATCAAAGTATAAGAAGTCAAAATAAATTCTTAAATTGGAAATGTAATGTAAATGACAAGAATATGGAATCAAAATAGTTTTAGTTATACTAGTTCAAGTCAATAAATCGGCATCAGGGTTAGAAACTCCCTAAAATTACAACTCGCAAATAATTGCGAGTACCAAGAAAGTGCACTCGCAATTTTATAAGACTACTCGCAATTTTCATATAAAGTTAAATTTATATAAATGAAATACATGTAACTTGCGGAAAAAGTAACTACTGAACAATACACAAAATACAACTACAGTGTGACTTTTATTTAAATTGCTGATTTAAATCAAAAGCATTGTTTTCTGTCATATAATATAATTTTGCTACAGTTTCAATGCAAAAAAATCAACTCGCAAGTTTTTGCGAGTTACCTAATTTTTAACTCGCAATTTGGGAATTCTAACTCGCGTTTTGCGAGTTGTATATAGTGAATTTCAAACCCTGGGCATCCTCCTTCCATTGACGTGCAGGGTCTTGTAGCCACTATGCATCATTGCATTCGTTTGCTTGAAAAGAAAATAGGTGCTAGGGAAAGTAAAAGTACTGACATGTATGTTTTCATCATGCTTGCTAACCCTGACTTGAATGAGTTGAGAAATTCAGCTCTCGAGACACTGAGTGATAACATGTTTCTGGCGGATCCAAGATGGTGACCAGCAAGGGAAACTAAAATGTGTACAGCTGGATTTCATAAACACTTCTAACTTTGACTGACCTCTTCAAACACTTCAGACCTATTTAGACAATACATTTGAACGTGTAAAGGTTGGATGCACTTAGCATAGCCTGTGAGATCACACATTAAATGATTAATGCTTAAGCTGCATTTCCATAGCGAGTATGCAGCACAAACTTGAGAAGCTGAACAGAATGAAGTGAACTGTGCATGAGTGGTTGCATGTTCCTTAATTCACATAGTGTACTTATAGTAGATATTTATAAACTTAAGAGTGTTCCAAGGAACAAAATTCAAAAGACATAAATTAAACTGTCAGGTGTATTTCTTTCAAAGTAGGTCAAATGTCAAGTAGACTGTAACGCTGGTATTTTTCATAATGTTATATAACGAACGGTGTGCATGCTACATGGCATAGACTGACCTCTTAAATGTAAAAAGTATGCTGTATATCGGCACTATGAACTATTTTGAAAAGTAGGTCAAAGGTAAAGTTCAAGGGTCAGTGTCCATGGTATTTTACAAAAGCCATAATATATGTGCAAAATATCAAATCTATACCTCTTACATTTCTCAAGAAATAAAGGTGCAACAGATAGACAGACAGACCTGATCCCTGCAATCCATAAGTGTTGCTCCAGGAGTTTTCTGGATTGTTTTGGGTCCAGTTACTGGACCCATTACCAATCTAAAAATCAGCCACATTTTCCCAGTTTTTAGCTCACCTGAGCTGAAAGCTCAAGTGAGCTTTTCTGATCACCCATTGTCCGTCGTCCGTCTGTCCGTCCGTCTTTAAACTTTTCACATTTTCAACTTCTTCTCAAGAACCACTGGGCCAATTTTAACCAAACTTGATACAAAGCATCCTTGGGTGAAGGGGAGTTTAAATTGTTAAAATGAAGGTCCAAGTCCCCTTCTAAGGGGAGATAATCTAGAAAAGACAAAATATGGGTGGGGTCATTAAAAGATCTTCTTCTCAAGAACCACTGAGCCAGAAAAGCTGAAACTTATGTGGAAGCATCCTGGGGTAGTGTAGATTCTAAATTGTTCAAATCATGACCCCTGGGGGTAGGGTGGGGCCACAATAGGGAATCCAAGTTTTACATTGAAATATGTAGTAAAAATCTTTAAAAATCTTCTTCTCAAGAACCACTTGGCCAGAAAAGCTGAAACTTATGTGGAAGCATCCTGGGGTAGTGTAGATTCTAAATTGTTCAAATCATGACCCCTGGGGGTAGGGCGGGGCCATAATAGGGAATCCAACTTTTACATTGAAATATGTAGTAAAGATCTTTAAAAATCTTCTTCTCAAGAACCACTGGGCCGGAAAAGCTGAAACTTATGTGGAAGCATCCTGGGGTAGTGTAGATTCTAAATTGTTCAAATCATGACCCCCGGGGGTAGGGTGGGGCCACAATAGGGAATCCAAGTTTTACATTGAAATATGTAGTAAAAATCTTTAAAAATCTTCTTCTCAAGAACCACTGGGCCAGAAAAGCTGAAACTTATGTGGAAGCATCCTGGGGTAGTGTAGATTCTAAATTGTTCAAATCATGACCCCCGGGGGTAGGGCGGGGCCATAATAGGGAATCCAACTTTTACGTTGAAATATATAGGAAAAATCTTTAAAAATCTTCTTCTCAAGAACCACTGGGCCAGAAAAGCTGAAACTTATGTGGAAGCATCCTGGGGTAGTGTAGATTCTAAATTGTTCTAATCTTGACCCCCGGGGGTAGGGCGGGGCCACAATAGGGAATCCAAGTTTTACATTGAAATATGTAGTAAAAAATCTTTAAAAATTTTCTTCTCCAGAACCACTGGGCCAGAAAAGCTGAAACTTATGTGGAAGCATCCTGGGGTAGTGTAGATTCTTATTTTTCAAATCATGACCCCCGGGGGTAGGGTGGGGCCACAATAAGTACTACAAGGGGGATCAGGTGAAAAACAGCAAGGCCAAAGTTTCTCAGGTGAGCGTTGTGGCCCATGGGCCTCTTGTTAATCTTTTCCCCTTAATTATGTGTCCTTGGAAAAAAATTATGAGAGTGCAGAAAGAAATGAGATTTTCGTTTCCCTTCAAGACATTGAAAATCTCAAGAGGTGTCGCTCAACATGTGATCATAGCATTGAGTTATAAAATTTAAGTGATGCTTCACATCTGGTAAATCACTATATAATGAAATTGGTCCTTTTCATTTTTTCCCAATTTGAATTTATTTCGTGTCAATTTCTCCAATTCTATGTACCCTGGACCACAGGTACATATGTTTCGTATATGGGGTCATCTCCTTCTTTTTCTTCCACAAGGTAACTAACTCAATTTCAGGCACCCCTGCTTCAAGAGACTTTTCAAGTTTTCCATTCTGAGATCTCTGGTTTTATCCTACGTTATAACCCCGTCCGGAAGTTTATATCCCGTCTTAAGTCTTGATATGTCTATAGGTACCTTGTGGAAAGAAAAAGAAGGGGGTGACCCCATATACAATACAAGTGCCTATGCCCTGGACCCAGTTTATAAATGGTAGGAAAAGCCAGGGCTCAAAATAATTGATGGCCCGCTGGTCTGGGGCCAGTGAATTTTCAATCTGGGCTAGTACATTGCAGAGGGCACGTGCCCTTTGGGTCAGCATTTTTTTTTATGCATAATAAAATTCATTCACAGTCGGACTAGTTAACTTGACAGGGTTGTGTGTCCCAACTTCTGCTGTTTCTTGTTTTGTTAAGTTTTACTTCTAAGTATCACAATATATAAAAAATATTACTACATGTATTATTATTATGGTTTTGGCCCAGTCTTTTTAAAATCTACTTTCCCAGTGGGACAGTGAAAATACTAAGCTGACCAGTAAAAATTTATGGCGATAGCCCTAGTGACCAGTAAACAAAAATAATCATTTCTAGCCCTGAAACCCCTGTGCTCTGCTCTGCAGGTGACACAAAAATACTATAATGGCATCCAAAATACGTTGAATGTGCATGTATTGGGACATGAATGGAATTCAATAAATAAATAAGAGTTATCTCTCTTTGGATATGTACTAAATAAATGAGTTTTTTTTCAACATGCTTGTTTTGTTCATGCATTGCCAATCTGCTGTGCCTAACATGCAGAAAGACTACCCAATAGTTATAATAATAATAAAAAAAATGATGGGTTCTTACAAATAAAATACTGTCAGAGTTGTCCTTAAGAACTGAAATAGCATTGGATGTTAAGAAAGTAAAAGGGGGTCTGGGGTTCCTCCCTTAACAGGGTAGAGGGGGAATACCAGAATAACCGGGGTTTTACATCATCATAGGCAGGGAATTTTCCCAGCCTCCAGGTCTTAAGGACAACCCTGTGCTTTTAAGAATTAACATGTTCATTACTTGTAATGTTATCTTGGTATGATATCAATTAAAGGAAGAATTGATGGTGAAAGTGGATTTAAACAAAATGGGAAAAAAGTTACTTGTGTATTCATGCAGTGTTTTCCCTTTATTTCATAGTAAAGGGTTATATATCAGTCGTAACAGGCTATGCGTGAGGTGAATGAAAAAAAATTGTAGACATTACAACAATTATTTTTAAAAAATTTAATTTCTAAGCAGCATTTTTATCATGTGATTGGGCAGTTTGGCTGATGGTAGGTTCTTTAAGGAAACCACTGGTATTGCAGTAATTGTGTTTTTGTGTCCTTTTGGCATGATTTCATGATAAAACATGTCTATCCCTGTTTGAATGATGTCCATGAGGAAAGTAGAAACAAGTGTAAATATATGACCTTTTTAGCCCTGACCAGGGCAGCAGATGGTCATTACAGGGTTTATTTTGTTTCTACTGCTGAGAGATGTAACTGACTGTCCGTGACTGGCACACTGACCATCGTTTGACCCCTGATGGATGTGAGTCTGTAGTTATTTTGTTTGATTAGGGAAGTCATGGTAATAGACCTTGTCATAGGGATACTGAATACACAACTTTTGAAGTGCCCCTGTACTGTCACCAGGACACTGTATACAGTAAAACTGCTT